TGGCACATAATAATTCTTGAGTGCTGAGACCAGCTATGGAGACAGTGTTGTTCTTAACAGCTGATATAAAGAAAATAAAATAATTACTAGGCCTAATGATCATTACTGTACAGATCTAAACCTGCCAGGCACATGCTTACCAGGACATTAAGTTCCTAAAAGAGATAGTTCGCAGAGATTAACAAATGTCCTCCCTGTACACATTATTTGCACATTTTATGCTCACAGTATTCCTTAAGTACTGATATCTTTTATGTGCTATTGCTAGCTGCAAACTTTAAATCATGCATGATATAAAATACATAAGAATGTGTCAAAAAAATAATTAAAAAAAAAAAAGACACCACATCAACACCACCCCATTGAAGTCAGTGGATAAACAGTGCAAATCACTAGTGTTTAGCTTAGCTGTTTAGAGATGGGACTCAAATAAGAAGTAGACCCTAATAATTTGGCAGTGTGTGTGCATTTCTGGAACTTCCATTTGGTCCTTTTTTTGAGAATAAAGAAAAAAAGAAAAGAAAAAAAAACAAACAAGAAAACTACAATTCTTATGCAGAAAACAATAATGAACATTAGAAACCCAGTTGGGAGAACAGAGACATTTTAAATATGGACATATTGGACATATGGACATTTTAAATATGGACAATATCAGATCCCCAGAGAATTTATAATAGAGCAGTTCTATTGATTTTAGTAGATTTGCTTACATTCATCATTGAGTTTTCAGCACAATACTTTGATTATTCTTGATTTCTGTAGATTTTGTATCAAGGGAGTTAGTGGCCAGAATACTTGTCCAATAACGCCTTATATGACTATATCAGAATATTTTTAGAAAGTAAATTTGTAACTGATAAACTTTGTTATTAAACACATAAATTAAAAGTTAGACTAACTTCTCTCTTGGACATAAGCAATTTTGTATCAACTTTGTGTGCAATAGAAAGAGGAAGACAGCTTTGATCTCGAGTCTTCTTACTGGAACTACCAAAGATTATTATCTACTGAAACTTTAGAGCCCCAATTTTGAATGTTGAATCTCATTTTAGAAGGCAAAAACTTCCTTTACAATAAGGTCAAGTCATCATTAATGAGCAGAGGGGTATGTAATATCCTTCCAAACAATGTTTGGAATAAGATAATTCTCAACAGAGCATCAGTTCAGGCTGGTGAAAGGGCAGAGCTGAATTCATAGTAGTCTGGGCACCCTGTGCCAACGCCAGGACTGTTGTAGATGTGTCCGCAAAAGCAGACATTAAGGAGACAGCATTTTATGGATGCTTGCAGGGAGCCACTCCTATTACATGGGAAAGCCTGGGAAAAAGCCCAAACAGGTTTCTTTGAAAACATGTCAGTGAAAGCTGCCGTCGTGGACTTTGAATGAGAGGAAAAACAGGTCATGTAGGGATAATCCAGGAAAATATGTGCAGTAGGGAAGAGGCTGTGAAGGAGTCAGAGTAACGGAGGTTCTGTCAAAGTGGCAGACTAGGAAAATGCTCTGTACAGCAAAAGACTGGCAGGATATGAGCACAGTAGCTTGAATTTGTCAAGGGCTGTGAAAAGATGTTGCAAAACTGCTCATGGAGGAGAGCCTGGATAGGAGATTTAGCTGTTTGAATGGCTAGAAATAGCCCTTTGGGATGATGTGTGAAAAAGAATCTTCTAGATTAAGACATAACCGAAATATACAGACCTAGAAAGGAGATTCCATGACAAAGACCTTCTTCAGTTTGTTTCTCTTTTTAAGTTTGAATAGGAGGCAGGATGATAGTGTTGTCCTGAGCAATCAAAGGAAGAACTAGAAGGGAGTGCTTTAGGGGAAAGATATAAGACCTCAGTTTTAGCTGTGCAGAGCTGTCAGCTAAACATCGAAAAGGTATCAGAGCTAGAGGTCGACATTTTAGTCTAAATGGAAAAGCAGGTAAAGAGAGTAAGATCTCTGAACTGTCAGCACTGCAGTGATTGCTGAATGTGTATGAACAGTGTCACAGAGAAGGGGAAGAAATTAAAGTGGGGGGAAAAAAGGTTTCCCCAGAAACCTGGGTTGGAGGGAATGAGACAGAAGGACATGCTGGAGAAGTGACTAGAGAAATCATAGTGAAGTGACAGGAGGAGATAGTCACAGGAGCCAAGGGAACATCATATTTCCAGGCATGTGATTAAATGGGTGGAAGGCAGCTGATAGGTCAGAAAGGATGAAGTTGAGAAGCAATTCCTGTAGAAAGAAAGTCAGGCAGGGACTGTAGAGCTTGGAGATGAAAGGGAGAGGAGCTGGGGTGGGACTTGAAGAGGCGGGTGGGGTAACAGGGAGAATCAAAAGACACATTGCGAGAGAGAAGCTAGTCTTCAATAGGTAACAAACTAGCTCAGGAAAAAGCATGTTCAAAATTAAAGCTAAGCTAACTATATTTAATACATAGTTTACTCAGAAAAGTCAAGCTGTATGATAAGGTAGTTACATTCATTATATCTGTCAATATGATGTAAAATATACAAGCTTTTCTTCAGGTCTGCACATCAATCAACATATATTGCCCTTTATTTACAAGCTGTTGGTGAAGCAGTCACTAACTGCTTGAATTTGTGTGATATTTATAAATTTTGTGCTGACAGTTTCCTCTAGTGAAGTTTAAGCCTATGGATCTTAGAGAAATTCAGTGCTACAGCTGTTCTTCATTCATCATACACAAGTGCCTGTCCTTAACAGGAAGACCTACAGGGATCTCCTGAAGATTCAGAGTAGCTTTGCCAGTTGAAGAGCTAGCATTACTTCCTTTGAGTCAGGATTGAACAAATGCCCTTTAGTGATACTAAGTGTCACTGGGATCTGGAAACGCTATTTTTCAGATGGTCTGTGAGATCATAGTCCTGAACTCTTGCTTTTCACTATCCCAAGAGATCAAGTTGTTTACGACAATTTAGTCCTAGCTGGAATCCCCAATCCAAAAATATCCTAACTTTGGCAGTCATGATCACAAATTTCCTATGTGTAAGTCTGGATCCTAATTTTGTGGCCAGACCTTTTCTTTAAACAATGTGCTAAAATTCCACATGCCAAGCAATTCCAGATTTTATCTTATTTGGAAATCTCAGCGATACTTCTCACTTCAGTGAGTCCCATCCATCAGTCCCTCTATGGATTCCTACACTTGCTTAATTTGCTTTACTTACCTTTGTTTAACAGAACTGAGGTGGTGCTGCAGGGGAAAGGACAGGCTGCTGCGTGCTATGCAGGTGCCTGCATTGCTGCACAGCCCATCTGGACAGGCCTCTCGCTGGAAGAATTTAATATTGAAGTCAATTCAGATAATACCAAGAAACAAACAGCTAAAACAAAATAGCCTTCTCAATAATTATATTAAACTTGATTTGCCCAAAAAGAGAAGCAGATAATTAAAAGCCAGCATCTAATAATAACCATTATGTTACCGTTTATGCTTCATGTGTCCGTGGTTGTGACAAAACTATTGATATTGCCATCATTTGAATGTACGAATGCAACATATATTAGACAAACATTTCCTGAGTGAGTTTTGATGTGTACGTTTGCCTTGCGTTTTTGTGTTTTGATACAGCAGTTGCCTCCTCCCAGGGCAGAGCACGACTCCTTCAATGCACTGTGGTGGTGTAACCCCAGGAGGCAGCTGCTCACTCCCCAGCAGGGTGGGGAAGAGAATCAGAAAGGGGAAAGTGAGAAAACTCGTGGCCCGAGATAAAGACAGTTTAACAGGCAAAGCAAAAGCTGCACGCACAAGCAGAATAAAGAATCCATTCCCTGCTTCCCATCAGCAGGCGGATGTTCAGCTGTCTCCAGGAAAGCAGGGCTCCGTCACACGCAGTGGTCAGACAAACGCCGTAACTCCAAATGTCCTCCTGCTTCTTCCTTCTTTCTCCCAGCTTTTATTACTGGGCGTGATGTCACATGGTGGGGTCAGCTGGCCCAGCTGTGTCCCCTCCCAGCTTCTTGTGCCCCCCCCCGCCTACTCGCTGGTGGGGCAGCAGGAGAAGCAGGAAACCTTGGCACAGTGCTGTGTAAGCACTATTCAGAGCAATAAACAAAACATTGGTTTGTTATCAACGCTCTTTTGGTCACAAATCTAAAACATAGCACTATATGAGCTGCTATGAAGAAAATTAACTCCATCCCAGTCAAAACCAGTACAACCAGTAAACTAACACTGTGAAGTCAGAAGTTGTATTTGTTTGAGAGGAGCCAGATAAAATTTAGCTATAGGTTTTGCTAATATTATTCTTATGTGTTTTTATTGTGAAGCCAAGTATTTGCAATTTACTAGTGTCCGAGTGAAACTGGAGGAAAGAGACCATTAGCGGCAGCTAATGTTACATTTGCTCTTGGTCTCTGTTTTCCTGAATCTCTTTACTACCTTTGCATTATCTGAGTGCCCATCTAAAATAGGTAAAAGCATTCAAGTTTGTCACCCTCCCTTTATTAAAAAAAAAAGTAAAATAATTAGACAGTCCACATAAGATTTATATTTCTGTGGCAACATTAATATTATATGCCAGCTCTTTTATTCCCTGGTTTCTGCACAAACTATAAGGCACTATAAATGTGTTATTTTTAAAAAGATTGTTTGTTTGCTCTGTGCTTGTCAGTGTGTGTGCACACAGGGGAGTGACTCACTGGCCGTTCACTTGCACGCTTGCACTAACATACATGATGGAGGTGTCAAATGGGGAGAATCAGGTCCTGGCTCGAGGTTTATGCTCAGACCTCCGCACTGCATCTTCCTGAATTGCCCTGCAAAGGTCTCTGAATGCCCCGGGTGACGTTTCAGGGTTTCCTTTTGGAGATTTCTGTTTTCACAAATAATTGCTTCTGAACCTGGATAATTTATATTTTATTACTGACAAATGTGCATGCACTCAATCAGTAATTTTATTGCGGGGAGGGAAAAAAAAAAACCCACCCAAAAAGTGAAAAGACACTGTGATCTGCGTAGTAATAATCACACACATTTCCCATCATTTAGGTCTGTAAGAACTCCTGACATTTGAAGCTGTCCTACCGAGTTGCCATGGCAACGAGAAAAAAGAAAACGTCAGATCTGAAGATTGCAGTTTACAGTTGCTGTTCTTCACTACCAGGCCTCAGTTGCTCCAGATTCAGTTTAATTTGCAACCTCACTTAATCTGTCCGACTATACATTGGTGTTTGACAGCCTCTACCCTAACTTCCGTTTGGTAATGGATTCCTCTTGCAAGACGCAACGTTTATGCCAATTTTCTCTGAATGTTAAAAGACCATGACATCTAAACTGGACCTTGGGGGAGCAGAAAACAGATTGACTCCATTTTTTTCTATCTGTTGACTTGTTGCTATTCAACTGTTCAGAAAATATTTTGTCTGTGGGTTAGTATTTGTATATGTATGAGTGTATGTATATATATATATTTATATAGAGAGAAGAGTTATACGACAGGTTTAGCTTTTATAAGATATTCATCTGGAGTGTGCAAAGGACAAAGCAGAGTAATGCAGCCACAGGTGAATTGTAACTATTCTACCATGGCTAAACCTACTGTATTTGCTGTTTATAGTGTGGCCAGAAGGAGAGAGCCTATTGCCATCACACCGCCACTACAGCCACTTTGTTGACACCAAGCAAAGCAGGCCCAGGGCTCTGCGGTGTCACTTCTTGTACCTCACGTTCAGCAAACAAGAAATGCAAATCCCCCTGGCCTGTTTCTGATCGGAACTGCTTTCCTTATGTCCCAGATGGAATTTACAATCCCGCAGGAGCACAGCGCTTCGCTCCCCGTTTCGGTGGGAGCAGCACTGGGAGGTTCTGCGTAGCTCTGATTTGTGAGAAAGCGGGAAGCAGCTGCGACCGGCACTCTGTGGGTCACGAGTTACAGCAATGGGAGTGCTGGACCTGATTTTAAAGGGGCTAAAGTCAGCTTCCTGTCATTATTTGCCCGGGCAATTGACAAAATTTAAATCTCTTGTCAGCTCTGCAGACACAGTTAAGTGGGTAGATGTCTGCGTATGGGCAGCTGATTAGAATAGCAAAAGTAAAGTATTTCTCAGAAGTGCTGGTCTCTCTCTCAGCCTCCATGCAGCTGTCATTACATACCTAAGCGCAAGGAGGAAGACAGATGCCCTATTCTATAAATATATTCACACACACATATATATAGTTTTGAATATATATATACATACATACACATGTACACACAGTTTCCAGTTAAGAGTAACAAGAGCATTTCTTTGTGTGTGTAAACTTACCACACTTGTTTGCAGACATGGGAAAAAAGGGTGTTCGTTATATATGAATATAAATCCTTTTTTATTCTGTGAGCATGTAAGGTTAAAAAAAAAACCTTCTAACTGTATCAAGATGATCATCTTGTTAATAAATTGTAAATGATCCATCAAAGCTCACACCAAATTTTTATAAAATTAACACAAAAAGTATACTAGTGACAGACTGTGGCTTTTATTAGAGCTTGCCAGTAACTAGGGTAAGGTAAGTGTCTTAGAATATTTTAATAAACTTGCTTATTTAAAGTTTAAACAAGAAAGCTTCCTTATGCAATAGAACTTTGCAGCTGCATTCTTTAGTTAGCATTTTTACAGTACTTATGAGTCATACTGTATGTTGTCTTTACTACAGTGAGATTATGAGCATATCTTCCACACCACGTATATGTTTCAATAGTAAAGCTTTTTGGAAGCATTAAAAAGTCCAAACATATATTTAGTTTTCCATAATGCTACACTAGATATTAAATGTGTGTTGGTGGTTAAAAATTGCTGTACAATAGCTTTTCTCTGACTTCCTGTATTGTACCAAATATGAAACAGGTCTTTTTTTTTTTTTAATCAAAAGGAGTAATAACAACAGCGACAGAGGAAAAATTAGTTTGTGTTGTGAACTTTCCTAACGTTGTAGATTTCTTGGTAAGATACACACTGCCTTCAGACAGGAACCTATTTTTCTCTTCCAGCTTAACTCCTGCAGTCCTGACCAAGTAAAATCTCCCACTGACCTGGTTTGTCTCGCAGCACACTCGAGGTGTTTCAGTTACCAAAGCGGGACTTGGAGGTTCGTGGGAGTTTCTGTTGAGCCAGGGCTTCAGGAGTGCGCTGTTAGGCAGCTGGAGGCATTCCAGCAGGAAAGTGCCTGATCTCAAACATTAACATGGGCACGCTTCTAGTTCTCTTTCTCTGCCCATGCCTGTAATAAGCATATGCTGCTGTTTTATCATCAACAATTGTGACTTAAAAAAAAAGACAGTTTTCAGGCAAATTTTTCAAAAGGAAAAAAAATCAACAAATGCATAACACCACTGGATTTTCGGCATGTGTATTTAATGAATGCATTCAAATGCACCCAAAAATAAACTGGACCCTATCCTTTGATCTACAATACCTCTACCTTAAATAAAAGAAATTATAATATCCTCCCCCCAAATACTCTTTCTCTACTTGCTCTCATCCTCTCTCTGTCCAGCAAAACCCACCTCTGGAAAGAACCCAATGACATTAGTGCCATTTCTGTCAAGCACCAGATAAAACTACCCTTCTCTCAGTTAAACCAAGGCTCACATAGCGTCTGGTGGATCATTACAAGGGCACCCAAAATGAGGAACAACAAAAAACCTCTTCTGCCTGGAACTACGCTAACAATGGAAAGACTCTTTCTACCACTTTGTGCCCAAAGACAAGAGATCTTTCCTCTTGGATAACGCTGCAATCTTTTGACAGGTAGCGAGGTCAGTATCATGGCTGAAACTCTGAATCAAGATGTGTCAAAGACTTCATTTACCATTATCACTTTATTTCTGCACCCAGATTAAAGCCCCCCAGCCTTTACTGTGTGTCTCTAGGCTTCAGATGGAGCTAATCACTGGACTACCTAAGCATACAAAGAGAAGATGAAGCTGCCATGTTAATGTTTCTCCGTCTCTGTACCTGAGAACAAACCCCATTTAACGAGAGATTGTGGCACTTTCTGTAGCGTTATACAAGTAAGGAACGATATTAGAATCTGAGTTTTCCTACCTGAATAACATTGTCAGCTGTGGCTCAAAAAATGATGCCCATTTCCTGAAATAAAGAAGCAACAATAATTTATTAGTAAAGAAGTTAAAATATTGGTTGTCATTTTTTTATAGTTAATTATGTTTAACATTTGTTCAGCCAAGCTTGCTGTTTTTATACCATAGCACTTATTTCTATGTAGCTATTTTGGTCACTACAAGTTATTTCAGTCTGTTTGTAGACATATAGTGCTGTCTAGAGTCAGAAAGGCAGTGAACTTGTCGATTTTCATTTTGTAACATGCACAGAACTTGTGCAAAAAAGTCATTTCAATTGAAAAGAGTATCTGCTGTTAAAACAAATTGGGTACAACAATCGGTGAGCGGAGTTTATTAGCAAGACAAAGGTCTCATTTGTGGTGTACTTCCTAATTGAACCCTTGTCTCTACACCTCGTGTGCTTTTGCAATATGCCTATCTGCATTTATTAATGTACATTTTGTTCAGTAACTGTAGGTCTGAAGATTAAAACAAAGGGAAATGAGCTGAATTTCCTACTGGGTATCAAGGAAAATTAGGTAGGAATGGAACACTGGCTAATACACTTTCTGAGCCCTGTTCTCATCACGTTTACACTGGTATAAATCAAAAAGCAATGCCATTACTAGAATTGTTTGAGATTCAGTTAATCATGTTTAGATGAAATTTTTCATCTAAAGCTCCCCACATATTGCTTTTACTGGTCTGCTGTGAACAGTAAAGCAGCAATATTTGTCACAGGATCGTTGAATGCTTATATATCATCAAAAGTCTGTCTTTTGTGACATACAGAGAAACCTACAGCTTCGATGCCTCCCACAGATGACTCACTTCCTTCACCAGCCACTTTAACGTGTCTCTACGGCACCCAGCATCATTTGGTTTAGCCTTTATTTGAAATGGCTCTGGCCTGTAGTCAAAGAATTTGTCCTGGTCTCTTGCATAGTCACTTAAGTCAGAGATCACTATAATACAAGCCTCATTTATTATGTTCAGTTTGTATGGCCCTAGCTTAAATGTTTTTATCACTACAAAAAGGAAGATATATTAACAACTTCTACATCATTTTTTCCTTTGCAAAGACCTCCTGTCTGAAATACTGAGAACACTGCCAATCTTCTCAATTGCTACCAATACACTCAGCCACTTGAAACATAGCGGAATTTTGTACACAAATAATTTTACAATGCTGTTTGTCTTAAGGCTAAGTTTCTTTCTGAATGGATTTAATGATGTCTTATTTAATTTAAAAAAAAGAAACAAACCACAAGATAAATTAAAGTCACATCAACTTGAGAACACCAAGTTAAGGCAAAACTCCGATCCTATCTTCCCTTTATTGCATCTCTAGAAACTCTGTTGTTTCAGAGATACTGTCCAATGCTAACAAAAAGATAAATAACTAAAATAGCAATTATTTTCTTTCCGTTAACTCTGTGATCTATACTCTTTAGAATTAACATGCAAATTACATTAGTAATTATCATTATAACTATTCTATTTAAAGCGGCTATAGCTGTGTAAAACACATAACCCATTGACCACACTGTTCTCTTGCCTCACAACAAGATATGCTACTTGATTCATATTTGTCCAAATGAAATGGATACACTCACGCTCTCAGTGGAAAGTTACTAGTTGCACAATTGCTATGTGTGTGTATATATGTAGATATATAGAGATATACACATACACATATAAATATATATATAAAATATATGCAGATGGAGGGAGACTACTACAACATGGGGGCTTGGGATAAGCAGTTTAATTCCATGAATTATAGATGAATGCATGAGTTAAGAGACAGCATGGGTTATATACACCAAACCAGTCTGTTAAATCAGAAAAGAAAAAAGGTGAAAAAACACGCACACCAAAACCCAGGCTTATCCCAACTCTCATGTTGTATTTATGCTACCTTTAGCTGTCCCCTCTTAACACAATTATATCATTTGAAGATATGCATAGTTGTTTACTGACTCATTTTTAGTTGTCTATGTATCAGCAGGCCACCAGTAGTGGAAAGAGAAGGGTTTATAGCCAGAATTCTGCATTACCATGCCTTCAGTGGGACAGCTATTTGGGAGTTTCATCCACCCTTTGAACTTCACATTCCTCCTCTGAGCAAATGACTGTATTCGATGACCTGGGGTTAAAATGAATGTAGGCAGACTGTGTGTGTGTACCTGCATACACACCCCGCCTGGGACTGTAGAATAAGAGCATGTCTGGTAGACTGTGGTGGTGAATTCAGTACAAACACGCTGTGTTATTACTGCCATTTCAGACAGAACCCTCCTGTAAAATCATATTTGCCCCATAACAAACTGTCTTTTTAAGTTACCACCAAGATATTTTGTTATGATTTTCTTTCTTTTTTTTTTGAAGTTCAAGCAAGGAGGAAAATAAGTATTTTTTTTTATTTTATTTTTAAAGACACTTAATTCAGCTACTTTTTCAGATAATCCTTCCTTTGGGCCCTAGTTGCTGAATTGCTTGCTGTTTCTGAGGTGTAAATAAACGTTTTGATTTATGACGTGGTTGCAAAGAAACTTGTAATTTATTTGTGAAATGCTCAAATAAAGGATGTATGGGCTTTTACCTTTTGTCTGGGCGTAGACCTTCCTGACACAATACGGTGGGAATGGAAGACTACAAAATGACCTTGAGGCTGCCAAAGGGCTGGAATAGCCTGCGCCAAATACCAGAAGCTCCCATGTTGCTCTAAGTAAAAGAGAGAAATTACAGCCTTCGTCATCACCGTGCTATGGTTATAGAATGAGACTCTGGAAGGTAGAGCATAAGGTTGACCACATGAGAAAACAGCAGCAGATTATTCAGCATCCTTTCAGGTAAGAGCAATGATTTGCCTTCTAAAGCCGCACTTTCATCGTAAAGTTGCGTTGAGCCAAATCTGGGTCAGCTGTCCCTCAGCTGGACTGTCTGCAGGAGCTTTAATGGATTTTTGTTGCATTTCCTTTCTGCTCCACCTGGCCACCTTCCCCACCTACCACCATCAGTTCAGCATATATAGAATAGAGAGCCACAAAAAGTGAATGTTGCAAACACCACGGGAACAGGCTGACCAAACATCACTCAGCGAGGACCACCGTGGGATGCTACAGGACTGCATTCCGTCACTGCCATCACGGCCGATTACAAGATGGCTTTAAACAGCCAGTGCTGCCATGGTCTGTTGCCGTGTCTGATGTGCTCCCTCCCTGTGCGTAACTCCTCCTTAAGATGTGTGTGCAGGTGGGGTCTGCTTGTTGTCCTGATTCAGAAAATCTTACTCCAAAATTTAGAGCCCTTCTTGCCTTCAAGCCCAAACTGCTCCGGGCCAGGTTGCTCCAAGAAAGCTTGCACTGCTTTAATGCCCTTCTGCACCAGGAACTGCAGACGTCATTCATTGACGAGGCTTGTTGTGTTAGTGTGCTGCCCTCCCAAGTAGCAGGACTTAAAGTTTGTAAGAAACTACTTTCTTTTTTCACTGAGCTCTCATAATGTGAAGGGAAAGGAAGTGGGTGTGCTTTCCTGTGCTGTCACCTGCTCCCAGCCACTGCAGAAGGGCCCAGTAGGTGAAATAAATAAATAGTAATTCTGTCCCAGAATTCAGGGCAGAGAAAAATAATAGCAGACTAGGTAGAACGGAAATCCTGCAGGTTTGCACCACAGCACTATGGCATTATTGCCTCTTTGCCAGGGAATTCTTTTTCCAGCACAAAG